ACAAGACCTCTACATATTGGTAAGTTCTGAATTTCTGTAGTCCTTTCTCCTTTTTTTCCTTTCCCAACAGAAGACAAATATCCTAAGCACCAACAAAAAATGAAAACATGCCAAATGATTGGCTAGGGTCAGCTTTATACCTTTCAAAAACTTGATTTCAAGCCAAATGTTCTCTTAGATGCACCCAAGGAAAAAAAAGTCTGTGTTCCAAGGATAGATGGAAAAAGCATTTTGACAAAATACGTAAGTGCTACATTTAAATCCTTTGTTAAAGTAAAAAGCATCTGGCTTTTCTTAAAAAATACCAAAGAAGTTCCTGAAAGTATTATTTGTCAAGTTCTCCAACTTTCATTCTATCTATCTGTATTAGCCAGCCACAGGGCTCCAACCTTTAAGATCTAGCATTAACTTCAAGAAAGCTCTTCAGTAATACTTCTTTCCTCTGTAATAAATATATCAAGAAAGCAAAATTATACCTTGTCACCTTCTTGTTCTTCTCCATCATCTTCAGAATCAGAAGCTGATGCAGAACTCCCTTTTGCAGTATTTTTCTTTTTTGGTTCAGCCTCTTTCTTTCCTTCCTTTTTGTCAAATTCCTTCTTTAATTTCTCCTCTTCCTTCTGACTTTCCTCATCTTTTTTCCCTTGCTTTTTAGGCTTTTCTTCTGGTCCTTTTTTCTTTGCCTTCTCCTCCTCATTAACACTAAAACACAGACAGTATTTAGGCATCATATCCATTACCTACAGTGAGTTTAAAACATCACATTCTTTTAACTCAGGAAGTTGATTTATTTTTTTTTACCACAAAATTATGAATTCACTCTCATTTAATGACTCTTCAAAAAAAATACTCAATCTTTTCTAAAATTATAGCCCACTACTTACGCAAAAAAGAAATAAATAATAGTATGGAGGCTCTAATGAAGCTAACGTTAATGTATGTGCATACATCCAAAACCAAGAAGTTAATGCTCAGAAGTTTTCCACACACATACGTGTCTGCAGGACCAAGAGTGCATATACAGTAAATTAGTTTTATAAAGCATACTTATTTAAGGTGTACATACACTGAAACCACGCATCTGCTAAACTACAGAAAACTACAGTAACGTTCAACTTTTCCTTCAGTTACTAGAACTGTTAAGGACTTGACAAAAGAACTGAAGAGGGTAAAAACAAAGTTTAGGTAACAAGTAGTGTTGGAATTCCATCAGAAGAGTTTTCTGAAACAAAAAAGTAAAAAAAGTTCAGTATTTTAGTTTTGCATGTTTTTTGTTTTAATAAATATCTTTTCCTCTTCACTCAGCATACAATTATATAGGGAATTTTGCACAGATTTTACAAGTTAGGAAGGTTAAGATCTTCTGTCTCCTGTTCCAGATATGTACTTTAATTACCTGAGCTGTAGATAACAAAGCAAACAGTAACTCATACTGAATACTAAAGGGGCAAAAACCTGTCAGGAGCTCAGTACTAATTATGAAGTCTTAACATAAGCAACAACACTGTTTACAATGAAAAAGCTTTATATGAAAAAACTAGACAGAATAACTCACGAGTCACTCTCTGAAAGACAAGGTGGTTTCACCAACTTCGGTCTCCCTCTTGGTTTTGGAACCTTTACTTCAGAAGCTAGTATTTTATACAGAAATAACAAGTTAGTCCACAGCCACCATCTGCTCCTTGTCTATGAGGAAAGATTCTTTGTCCACAGACAGAAGCTACACTTAAATCAAAATTTATATCCTAACTTTGTCATTACACAAAATTCAAGTGTTAAGTGAGTACCAAATTTTAATTAAGATCTCTTTGGAAAATTAAAGTGTCAGTAATTTTTTTTTTTTAGCTGAGTGGGAAATTAAAAACTTTGGTAGCTTTTTAGCCACAGGCTCCAACTACCAATTCTTGTGGTTTTTGCACTCTGTGCAGTCAGGATTTGTTTCACATGTTGCATAACTAACATGAGCAAGCCTCAAATTAGACAATGAGAAAGTCTGAAATTAGAGAATGGAAACAAGTCATTTAGTGTCCACATTTATGCAGCCTGTTTGCCAGTATTTTTAGATGTATCATGGGGCTCCCGTCACTTTTCTTGACAACAAACCACTGTCAAGAAGTTCTACTACTACACTACAGTACAGAGCAAAACTTTGCATCCCTCAGATACACTATTTGTCTAATTCCTAACAATACGATGAATCTACCTTCCTGGCACTTACATCCTTTAAATGCTTGTCTGATACCACAGTGAACACGTGGTTAGGAAACCTAATAGTGTTTAAACTCCTGTTGGTGTTAGCATGGAGCACTGTCAAGCAAGAGATACATGCATCATACGAACACTAGAAAAGGCTGCACAGTACGTCTTGTAAAAAGGTGTTTTATACAGCAGGTGAAAGCTTCTCTTACAGATCCTTTCCTGCTCTTACAGACAGTAGTTAGTAAAAATAAACAAAAAGACTGGCAACATAAAGGCACATACAAATATTAAAAATGTACATCTAGTACATGTCATGAAATGGGGAGGGGGGAAAGCTGAAGTAATACTTAATCTCCTCACAACTTCCAAGGCAAAAATAATTAAACCTAGTTAACAGTGGTTGCACTTTGTGGATGTTATTTTCATATTGTCAGCAGACACAGATGAGTGTAACTTATGTTTCCTGGACTAGATGCTCATATAACATACTTAATTGCGTCAAGAACTGTTTTCCGATGTAGTAGTTAATGATTAATTCAAGAGTATCCACAAGCCTATGACAAAAATTCAAATTAATTAGATCATTGCTAGTTTAAAAGAAATAAGCACTGCAGAATTATCACCAAATGGTTCTAAATATACTTTTTATAAAAAGCAGTTATATCTTGTTTTCATTTGTCTATCAATCTATACAGGCTGCCTTAAACATCTTTTTAAGCAAGTCTCTCCAGCTCTTTGTTTTTACTGTCCCCTGAACTTCACCTACAGGCTCTGTTGTCTCCCAAGTTCTCCTCCTTGTGTTTTATGGATGTTTTAACACAAAAGTATTTTACAGACCTTTAATGAATACAAACCTTTGTGGAGCAACAGTGCACAAAGAGCTCTTATCATATATCTATAGTTAGAAGCATTGTATGAAGACGGCTTTTCTAAAGGTGACGCTTGTACCCAAAACCAACGAGTCTTATTTAGAGGACTGAGCACTAATGCTAACAGTTTAAATCCATGTACATCCTAATGTCACATTGAGATAAGGTGTTTTCTCATTACAATCTACCAGCAAAGACTGCCTTTAGCAGGAGAAAATACTCTGGAAGTACTTTAGGGGAAAGAGATAGCTCCCTGACTAGTTCTACTAAGATATTTCTGTGGTGAAAAAGAATCAAATCTTTCTTTTAAAGTTACCTGCTGGTCTTCCTCTTTTGGGGCTTACTTTTGGAGACACTGTCACAGGACCTGTTGCTGCCACTGCTGCTGCTTCCTCAGCTTCAGCTTGTTTTTCAGCCTAATTTAAAGAATAAATTTCACAAGTGAAAAAACACAGGGCATCAGTATCTCAATTACTTTCTCAAACAGCAGTTTTAAACTTCTAGAAATGCATTGTTATGCTATTGCTTCTACAAATGAAAAAAATAATTCCAAATTCAGTAACAGATTATATTTAAATTTTACTAATTTCACCCTCTCCATACCATCACTACCTGATATAGTAAAGTTTCATATAATTTCAACCAGCCCATTCATCTTCAGAACAATAAACTATTTTGGTACAACAAAGGAAAAAGATTATTTGTAAGTATTTTTAAGATCACCATAACAGCATGCCAAAACCCAGTTTTAAGCACATACATTCCTATTTTCCCCACTGTACACAAATATTCTTTTGGATGTTACCATCTCCCCTAACTGCAAAGTATCAAGACACTAGATGGAGCTATTCATGAGAACACCTGCTTCTAGCTCTACAGAGCCAATTATTACTCACAATGAAAAATTTTATGTTGAACTGCACTAACTGGACATAATGTCCCAAACTCAGGTCTGTCAGCAGAAGCTAGTAAACGTGACAGAGGAAATCTTCTTAGGTCTGCAGTGCCTTATGATGCCAAGAAACTCCAACTCAAACAAAACAAAACAAAAAACCCCACAACCATAGGATTTGAGTGCTTTTAGAAAAAGCAAAAAATGAGATTTTTTTTGTGTGTGTCATCTGTGAGACTGCTCTCCCATTTACAAGCTGAAGTCATGTATGCATAGTCACAGCCATTCTTTCAACTTCGTGATGCTTCAGACTAGAAGCTTTCTTTGAATTTTAGATTTTTATAAAATAAATAAATAAGGTATTAATTTTTAAAATATTAACGTCATTTTTGTAAGAGCATCCAACCACATTTCTTTCTTTTTTGTGAAGTGAATGATACTCAGCATGCTACTTACCTGTGACAAACATACTAAGGTCACAGTTACTTCACACTCATTCCATCCCAGCTGTCAGCACTAATGTTGCAAGTTAAATGGTTTAAAATTAAAATTAAACTGTACCCCACTTTAATCTAGTTTTTAGTTGGGTCAGTGCCCTGATCTGGCTTGCTGTGTGACCACATGAACATTGAGGCTGGAGCATGCTCAGCAAGCAGCTGGAACTGCCTTTTTCAAAATCAGTCAATTTTTTCCCAGATTGAAGAGACTACAAAATCACAACCTCGTGAAAAGGGCGAGTATTTCAGGTGTCAGTTCAGTGTAATGAAGATGTTAAAAGAAATTTTTCAGAGCTTCATACCAGACTATTTTATTAGCGGTCTAGCATCAGTTTGTATCTTACTTTTTCTTATTTGCAATGGACTATTTGAGAAAAGATGCGAACTCCCTACTCTACATTAAGTTCAAACAGAATTAAGACTTGCAAAACACCCTCTGGGAAGACTTTCATTCCTACAAATTTTTCAGCCATTTGAAAGGGATGGGGAGAAGGGTGTCAAGCACTGCAACTTATGCATAATCTGTCATTAAAAAAAATAATAGCTAGTATTATCACATCCAAAAAATGACAGTATGGAATGAAACATATTGTTACCTTTCTTTTTCTTCCTCTTCTAGCAACTTTAGGAATAGAAGCATCATTTGTTTTCACCACATCCTGTGACGATTAAAAATGATGCTAAGAGTCTTAACAAAATAAAGATGTATTTTAAATTATTCTAGGTTTTTTCACAACTGAAGCCTCTAACACGTAATTTAGACAAAAATCCCATAATATATATGAAGACAACACCTCCTGCTTTTAAATTATTAACTTCCTGATTATTTGGTAATCAGGATTTTTTCTGAAAAATATTAAATAACTACTAAATAATATTCTGTTTTAAATAAAGGTATGTAGCCATGTTTTAGCCTGAACTCTTTATCTAGTCCTTTAAAAAAGTACATTTGCAATACAGAGTAAGTGATAAAAAACACCCACTGTTCCACCTGTTTAAATTGAACTTATAGACAAGCCAGACTAGAAGTTTCCTTTCTGATGAAAGCTTCAATTCCTGTTAGCTTCAATGAGATGTATAAACATGAGTGAACACAGAAGTTTTATATAATTAAACAGCTCCTGAGACTGTCACAGTAGTAGCATCTGTAGCTTCTTAGTATTCAGTAATAATTTACACCAATCAACATAATATTAAGATATTCTCTGATACATAGAAAAAGCTTTCACATACTTCTTTACTGTTTTTTTCAGAAGGCAGATCATCTTCCTTTGTAGCATCCATCTCCTTTTCTTCTGCTTCAGCTTCTGTAGCTACATTATCCCCTTTAGGGGATAACTGCAAAGGGAGTCAATACAGAGTTAAAAAAAAAAAAAAAAAGCATTAAGAAGCATTTCATAGTGAAAAGAAAACACGGTAATAACCATCAGGCTTTTCACTTCAAATTGTTTAAGTCTGTAAATACACTCCTTTCATTATTATTATATCAGACACATTAAAAGCCTACTTCAGGACCACTTTCTCCAGTACATGATTGCAGACAGTTGTCAGAATGGGTGAAAATACAGAAATGTACTATGGTGGAACTTAAATTCCACTTAGTGTTCACGATAATGTAACTACACCTTTTCACTGTATCACCATTACATGATTACTTTCAAGTGTTCATGCCAACATTGACGATTCTTTTGGATCACTGTTTATCTATTATATACAGATGGAGATCTGAATCACAGATGAAATTTAGCAAATAGTATCATTCTACTAAACAAAGACTTAATGCAGTAAGTAGACCACAAGTTGTTTTATCATATGTAAGATAGTAATTAGTGATAATTGGTGTCATCTGATCTATGCCTTTTTTCCTGTTTTGTTGGTTTGGTTATTTTAGGCCTTAAAACACTAGTTTTTGTTTTAGGTGAGCAGTTGAGACTTGAAAACAAATGAGTTTGTAATAATTTACTTGAAAATAATCAACATTTCCTTGAAGCCTATGTATGTGCAGGTTTGAGATCTTCAAATCTACTAATGCTACTGCCTTGTCCCACTTGCCAGCATCTTTTGTGTAATTCCCTTTTAAAGTAGCTACAGTTCTTAAAATTTCAACATTGAACAAAGCAACTCAGGCACAAGGCTATCATGCAGTATTTCTAATTACTTGAAGACACGTAGTATCACTGAGTCTTTTTACAAATCACAACTTGAAGACAGAAGAATCACTAGTAGACTAAAACCAGAGGAAACCGGAGTACAATGACCAGTTAAAAGAATGTTATAGCTACATTAGTATCAAAAGATAAGGAGTAAATTTGCTCCATATTTTGCCTTAAACTGATTAACCGATTGAAACTAATTACAGAAATCTATATAAAAGGACCCATTCAGGACTTTCCATTCCATCTTTGTGTTTAAACAGCTCTTAGGTCTTCCTGTTTCTCTTGCACAGTGCCAGCTCAGGACAGCCTGAAAGCTCTTTTCAGGAGAAACATGAAACTTAAGTCACTGCCATCCCCACTAGCTCACACTGGTTGCTGCATAAATTCACAGTGAAGCAAACTGATGAATCAGTCCAGTTTAAAAGTAGTTTTCCTCTTGCAGTAGCAAATCCTAGGGAGAAAATTCTTTTCTGAGTGTTGAGCATGGGCCAGAAGGAAGATCAGCACTGGTTTAGAAATTGTATTGGGTTTGCATGGCAAGGTTTTGGTAGGGAGGGGTGCAACAGGAGTGGTTTTCTGCAAGAAGCTGCTAGAAGCTTCCCCT